TTTTTTTTTTTTTTCTTTTTTTTACTGGACTTTATTTTTATACCCATCCACCATTCAGGGAATTCCTCAAGCTGTACTTCCCCCATTACCAAAGAGGCCTGCGCTTGAAAAAACCAATGGTGCCACCGCAGTCTTTAACACTGGTATTTTCCAATACCAGCAAGCTCTTGCCAACATGCAGTTACAGCAGCATACAGCCTTTCTCCCACCAGGTAAGTGCTCCTCGTTTGCCTTTTTCTGGGGAGGGAGAAGGGGGAATTCTGGAAGGCGTACACTAGGAAATAACCGTTTGTTCCTGGCAGCAAATGCGTAGAGGTATTTGCGCGGCGGCCGCTGGTGCCGGGGCAGCTGCTGCCAGGCGCAGGCAGCCTCTCTCCAGCCTGCGGCGCTGCGATCCTGGCGAGCCGCAGGCAGAGGAGGTGCTGGCTGCGGGAAGGCTGGCTTCTCTCTGCTTCTCTCGGAAGCTGGGTGGGTGTTTTCCAGTCTAATATAAAAACCGGCGTCGCGCTCTGTCATCCCGAATCAGAATTTGAAATCTTCTCTCTCGTTCCTCTCTCCCTCGATTAACTTCTCTTTGTTACACATCTCTTAAGCTGTTGTATTTGTTTCTCTTTGCTGTAAGACCCCTTTGCCTTCATGTGCTTAGCAACAGTTGTTCTGAGCCACACACTTGGAGGTTTTGATTTTAATTACAGTGCAGCGATCATAAAAGGCACAGGCAGGCAGTCTCGCAGATAGGCTAGTCATGAGCCTACACAAGAAATCAAGGTTCAGGCCTCTACCGCTAAAGCGTCAGGGCTGATTTTGGACTAAGCAGAACAAAGGTGCCCTTGTTCTTATTCAAGAGTGATCAAATCTACACTTGTCCTAGTGTATGTAATTGCTGAAGAATTGATGCCTGTACTATTTACATAAGCAGAAATCCCTTCAGAGGACAAGTGATGGGGCTTAAAGTTGGAATATATGTTTTGGTTCTGCAAACAGCACTTCATGAATAATTACATATGTAGTATGTCATGTGAATTCATGCCTATATTAACACAGCTGAGTTAGTTTTTACATATGAACCCACATTAAAACAGCACTATCATACTAGGAGGTATGGAGAGGATGTCGGATAGATCTGTGCTCAAAAAATTGGAAGGAGTCTGTGAGGACAGCCCTTCATAATGCAGACTAGTTGAGGGGAGGGGAGAAAACGCAGCTATTCAGTCTTTACCAAAAAAAAAATTAAGGATTTTATCCTAAACATTTTTGGCAAGTATGTTCCCAGGCATTCGGTATAATGCCTTTTACCATTCTTTCTTGATCTGGCATACAACTAATGTATGTAATTTAAATGGCACAAAAATCAGTTGCTTGATTTAGTACATTTTAATAACTTATTTGGATCCCAAGAATGCACTGCAACCACTGAAATATATTAGCAAAAGCTTGTTGCAAAGCTTGTTGGAGTCAATAGAAGGACTGATTGAGTAAGCTTTAGATCAAATCTCTAGCCCATATACTAAATTTCATATAAAAATGCTTATGCAATCACAGTCCTTCCTGTAGATATTAAACAACTTCAAAGGTTTGTTTTGGCAAAGCATAACTGATGTAGTTAGTAAACCATGCAATTTTCCAGCTTCCATTAAATCAGCAAGGGGCTGGATGATTTCTGACAGTACTTGAGCTGCTTTGAATCGTGCCCTGTGAACTTCGGAGCTGGGGTTATGGTTTGTGTGCATCAGGCCTCACTTGCACTACATCATTGACCGGGATCTTTCATGTCGGCACTTACACACAACCTACCTCGGCTCTTCCTCTAGCAATCTATACTGAAACCTACAGGAGTCTGCGCAGTGGTTCTTGATGCTTTATTTGACCTTTCTTGACCACTGAAGTTTAGTATATGTTAAACAAGAGAAGTAAAGGATTTTTTAGCATGAGCTACTATAAATTCTCTTTTTATATTTTTCAGATAGCAGCAGTTTGAGCTTTCCAGTAACCCAGTACTTTTTCGAAAGTTTGAAAATTTTATTTGCCACCTTGCCCTTTTTAGTTTTCCCCACTTAATTTTAAGTAGCATCAGTCCAGTTTGTGCACAGTCACCTGGATATAGAGTTTCTCCATCAGTGCCTAAGAACTGACGGGAGAGCACAGAGCGTGAGTGCCCTCAGCTCCACTGCCATGGGGCAGAGGCAGGTTAATTCAGTGGGGCCTGAATTAAAATGACATTTTTCAAGTTCAGACACCGAAAGTGTAATTACTCATATGTGCTCTTAGTTGCTTCAGCTGCAATGTATGAAAATGCAGCAGGTCTGGAGGGCAGGACGCTCGCAGAACCTACAGGGTGTCAGTGTGTACCCCTCTGCAGGATCTTGGCAGGACCCTCCTCTGCAGGACACTTCACTCTTGATATTTCACCCTTGAGAGTTTTGCACTCATGTTCCAGACAAACCCAGATACCTCTTCTAAATTGTAAGGTGTAATTCTGGCTGCCTGTATGCAAGGGCACATGAAAGCAAATAAAGGCATCGTCCATGCCAGGGGATGGGCACTGGCACTCCAGCACACTTTGAATGATTAAATGCTCTTAGGTACTCATCTCACTGCTCTCAAATAAAGCTCCCTCTTTGCATGGCTCCCTCTTGAGGTCTCCCAGAAACCTTGGCTGGTGGAAGATGTCCACAGACTGAGAGGGGAGTCTAAAAGGCGTTGCAAGAAAGAACTGGGAACACTTGTGGTGTTGGCTAGTTGAAACAAGTGGAGTTAGTCTGCCGAATGAGGAGGCTCTACACGACTTAATAGGTGTTCACAGCTTGTTTTGGTACTTTGGTCCTGGCTGACGACTCTTGACGCCTTAGCAGACACGCGGGCGAATATTTTGCTGAGGGGCTGTGAACTTGCAGAGCACCGGTTAGTTGGCGTTCACTGCTACTGCACATGCTGTTTGTTCTGCAGTAACTGTGAGCTGGCTGGGGGTATGTTTGTATGTGCAGATAGAGAGCTCCTATGTGCAACTAGATGAAATTCCTGCCCTGGTGCTTGTTACCATCCTGTGCCTCAGCTCACTGTCTCCTCAGTTGTGTGTATACAGCTGTTCCCAGCCTGTGCGAGTCAACCGGCTGACCAGAGGGTAGCTGAGAAGTGTAATCCTCCAGAAGAAAGGGATCAGGTTTACAGGGTACTCCCAGGAGCTGTTGCCCTAATGCACCTGCAAGAGGCAGAATTGCAGCAGGGCAGCTGAACCATGTAGCCAGCCGTGGAAAGGCTTCAGCCACCTCTGCTGTTAAGTTAACGCATTGCATATTTATTTAGTTACTGCACCTTCAACATCAGAGAACTTAACTTGTTCGTGGTTGGGACTCACTCAGCGCACAGATGCTTTCCTTAAGCGGTGTCTGTGTAAGCACCTTCCTCCGTGGGGCTTCTGGGTCTGTGTGAAAACACTGCTCTCCTCCAAAACGTTAGGGAGGGAAAAATCAGGCACAACTGTTCACCTCAGCAGGACTGCTTATGCTGTCTGTGGTGATATTTTTAATTAGGATTTAGTAGATTGGACAGAATAAATAGACTGAGGGGAATAATACAAGGGAGGCATGAGAAAAAAAATGCTTAAAATACCAGTAAACCTAGAATATTTATAAAACTAGCTTTATTCCACTGCAGAACTAATCTGGTTGTGAAGTTATGATCAGTTAACTGAACACATCCTTGAATTAAAATTCTGCCTTGTGCTGAAAAGCTAGGGAACATTTGAAACTCCACATTTATTATTCATGCATTCTCATTAGTCAGTCAAAGCTTCTGAAGTCAAGATGGATGTTAAGGTCATAGAAAAAATGATTTTTATTACTGGTAAGAGGGTCATACAGCATTACGTCTTCATATTTGCAAGTTATTGCACCCTAGCTAGTACTTTCATTTCTGCCTTATGTTCATTTGCTTCAATTCCCTTTCAAAACTGTGTGCACTGGTTATAATGTTAATGATGATAACTCAGACTAAAATTTTGAGCTGCAAAGCTTTACAGTGATAATTCAGAGTCATCATGAATATCTAACTCATCTTTAGCATGTAGACATAATTATGCATGGAATGATGTAATATTCCAGATCTAATGAAGTATGTACAACCTTATAAATAGGGCACTTCTGCACAGAGACAAGAACTCGAAGGTTCTTCCCTGTAGCCTCATTAACACCATAGAGATGTCATAAGAGGGGCCGAGAAAGCAGTTTTACTTACTGTTTGTACTTTATAGGCAAATTTTGCTCTGTTTTTTAATCTTGCAAGTGGTCCCATTGACTTCAGCCATGATTTGTACATGGGGAAGTCGGGAAAGCTACCCTTCTTTTAACCTTTCCTTATGAATATTTTCAGTCTTTTCCATGACACAGAAATAGAAGAGTAATTAGGAAGCATGATTATGCCCTTTCCTTGTAGCCTCACAGATACAGTGATGACAGTGAATAACCTTGTCCCCAGCAGTAATTATACTGACTGACTTTTTCCCCTGCTTAGTTAAATGCTCTTGAGATTGTGCAAGCCACTACAATGCTTGGCACCAGCTAAAACAATTTCCTGTCCCCCCGTTACGGTCACGTAATGTCAAGGAAGCAGCATTGCCATGGCTCCCGCTGGCAGTCTTCTAGAGTATGTTTCTATTTCCACTGCAACCTCTGTTCCCAGATTTCAGAGTTTATTTCAGTTTTTGCTGTGTCAAGCATAATTAGTTTTAATAAATGTTATTTGTTAAATAAAAAAGTAAAATGTTTATTAAAAGTGGATATTCTGAAATATCAGTATATATTTATCTATCATATTGGAAGCAAAAATAGAAGATTCTGAGTTCAGTCTGGTGAAAGGCATTTTGCTATGTAAACAGAATCAACCAACGTAACGATATTTAAAAAATGATGCCATCATGTTCCTAAAAACACCATACTGCTGTTGGCTCTCTTGTTACAGGGCGGAATTCACCAGGTGCTGTCGCTCTAATTATTTTTATGTAGCCTAAAGAGAGCTGCAGGTTGTGAGCCCAGACACCAGCAGCTTAAAATACGTCCTATAATGTAGAAAAAAGTGCTGAACGAGTATTCTTAGGTGCTGCCATGAGCTGCGTAGGAGACTTTAGCTGTTCAGTCCCTCCTCTGACCTGCGTAGTAAGCAAACAGACCAGAGGACAGTCAGGATCACTTCCCCTTCACTGGCAGCTCACAGGGGTCGTGCAGCTATGACAAAAGTACGGCATGCCAAATTCACCCGGGTTTTGCCTATATGTTAGCTAAATATTGGAGCAGCCAGATTGTGGCTAATGGAACAGCATAGATCAAGTCATCACTCTGCGAGGAATCGTCGCTCCAGCCCGTCCAAGAAGGACCCCAGCCGAAAAGGCAGCCCTAGCAGGAGGGGCGAGCCTCGCGCCCCTCCTCTGGCCCTCTGTGTTCCCCGGACAGAACACGGCGTTCGCTGCGCTTCCCGAGCAGCCGCGGGGAGGGGGCACAGCAGTGCCAGTCCCTCGCTCCAGCTAGTCCCGGTGTCCTAGCAGGGGTGGACCTCGGGTACCTGTAGGCAGGTGCAGGTTGAAAAGTATTTCTTTTAATCTGAGGAAACCAGGGTTAAGACCATTACAAAGCTTGCGTCAAAAGGCAAAAAGATTTAAGACTACAAGAGTTTTAAAATAAAGCTAAAGAAACTTTTCCTAGCCGTGCTAATACTCCGTGGTCCTACAAAGGCAAACACGCTATACCAGCACACAGGTCGATCAGCTCTTTCCCCTTCACTGAACACTAGTTCTAATGGATCACTGTGCTATTGTATGGTTTGATTGTGCTGACAGTTACATGCCACTGTTCCCATAATAACAATTTTTCTTCTTTGTTCAAATGAAATTTCTAATTACACGTGTGATGGGTTGTTTTAATTCTTTTCCCTTTCCAAATCCACCTTCCTGTTGCAATGCATGATGGGCAGGCTCAATATTGTGCATGACACCCGCTACAAGTGTTGGTAGGTGCCAGCTTTGTTTCTTGATTATCTTAAACCTGTGGTGCAGCTCACGGACCCTCAAAATCCACTGCTAGATTTTAACTTATAGCTCTCGTGCCAATCCATCTCCCTTAGCCTCCTGCACTAACACCTGTCAATTAAATGCAATTGTTTTATTTAATTGACATGGACACATAGACGTTATTAATTTTGTATAGCAGTTTTTTGAATTGCACATTGTTCCTTGGTGGATTTTGATTGGACTATGAGTTCCAGTGTTTAGAAACTATCTTGTGTTAAATAAAGACTGTATCTTACTATAGCCACATAGACGTATACTGTCCTTCAACAAGATTAATTTTTGTTTGCAGTAAATATTTGGGTTGAATTTTTAAAAGACAAAAATTTGTAAATATAAGGGCATTTAAAAATTCTTCTGTTGATTTTTGTATTGAAATGGTTAAGCTTGTTTGTGTCGATTTTCTTGATTTGATGGTAACAAGCATTTTCCCCTTTTTTTCTCTTTCATTTCCCTTCCCTCTTTCTCCCTGGAATGTTGTCCTGCTTTGCACTGTGATTGCATGTCACGCGCTGGCAATGATGTCTCGGGCTTTTTGCTGTGAAAAATACCATGCTCAATTATCCTACCACATGTCGCTCTGGTTCCCATACTGCTACACTCTTCTGTATGTTTGCTTATATGATTTTCCTTCCGAAAGTTCCCATGGTGCACGGTGCTACGCCAGCCACTGTGTCTGCAGCAACAACATCTGCCACAAGTGTTCCCTTCGCTGCAACAGCCACAGCCAACCAGGTTTGCTAATTTACAGCTTTGTTCCTTACAGACAACTTGAAATTGGTGCTTTTAATGAGCATGGGGGTTTTGATTTTACCTCTTGTTGGCCTACACATTCTCTCTAAGATCTGCAGCACAGCTTAATAAGCCTTTATCCATGCTCAAAAGGTGCTGCAGTTCCATTTCTGATGCTAAAAATAATTGATAATAGAGTTTCTGACTCAGTCTTAACATTTGTGGGCCATGCTGCTTCTGCTCTCAGAGATGTAAAGAGAAAGGGATAATACACGGAGCCCATTATTTATTTCTATTTCTGTGAAGCCGATAGTTCCTTTTAGTCCAGAACTCCAGTGAAAGCCAGTAAAACCTTTGTGCGGAGGGGTTGCAGGATCACAATTTTAACAGTCTGAATTTAGCAGTCTGAACATGTTCTGACTCTCCTCTTCCAAGAGCAAAACAAAAACGTCTGAGCATGGGCCACACAGAAACTTCTTTTAAACCATTGTTTCAGCTTGTGATTCTGCTTGGAAATGGCCAATTACTTGTTGCAGTAGGCAGACTTCAGTTAAGAAAATGTCCATTAGAGTCTGGTTTTATTTCTAAATAGCTACCCCAATTGTTGCCATGTTTAGATGTATTTCAGGAATAAAAGAATAATGGTTTACTAAATAAGTGATTAAAAGTCCTCCCAGAAAAGCCAGGAACGATGCTCTAAAGATGAGTACCAGGGGCCAGAGGAGCTGCAGTCCCCACACGTACCAGCTGCAGCTGCACTTGAGAACAGAACGTGGCCTGTTGTTTTTATCTAGCTGGGTTGTCAAAAATGCGGATTTCTGTAGTAGGTCTGGCTGAAAGTGCAACAATGAAAACTTTTTAAAGACCCTCTCATTCGTCTGATAAAAACAAATTATTTTTTTAGATTTACTAGGAAGTTAGAATTGCCAATGTCATGAAACCATCAGTTCTGGTCTAATATGCAGATATGACTCTCGACTCAGTGGGAATCACACATGTGCCTTTTAGAAGAGGGAACTAAACATTTTCTTCAGTATTTTGCAGGTGTGGTTCTGTATGTGTAATTAATTCCGGAGATAAATGCCAGTTTTTAAGGCAGGCTCACCTGACATACTCGGCTCCCTAAGTCATTCGAGCTAACTCCTGAAACAGTTTGAAAATCCCATCCTAAAGTTGTCAGGTTTGCAGCTGCAGCTGGACGGTGAGCAGCAAGACCCGTGCCCGTGCCCTGCTGCACATGCCCCTCTGTGCTTGGGGAGGATGGCACCGGCTCCTGCCGAGCCGGGAGCGCCGGGGCTCGCCGCACGGCGCCGGGCACTGCTCTGCTGCTGCGGGCACCAGGTGCCGCAGGCTGTTGCAGGATTAAGTGCAGAGCCTGGCTTCAAGCCTTCCCACCTTTGCCTGTTGAGCCACTACCATTTTGTACTACGCCCAGCTGTACGTTCTTTGTTAACCTGTCCGCTTACTGATCTCTCAAAAATAGTACTCCAAAAATTATTACTGTTGCAGTGATATATAGGTGTGCACATCCTGAGTCTCAAAAGGGGCCTGGATATTTTACAATTCCAAAAAATACTCAAGTTAGTCTGCTCAGCAGGTAGCACTTTCTGCTCTTGCGAAATGTTTGCTGAATGCCCATGTCACTCACAGATTTAAACTAGCATAAGAATTGCTTTGTATTTTGAAAAGCTAGTTTATAGGTAGGACTACCTGTGCATACATGTCACCTAAGCAAGCAATCACCTGTATGCCCGAAGTATCTTAATATTGTAATTTACTGCACCATACAGTTAATTTAAATGTGTCTCTATATTGTCCATAAGTCCAGAGAGTTGTGAGAACAAGCCAAGGCACAGAAAAACGTAATTGTTTTTTAAAATCAGCTCTGTCTAAATAACCATGCACTTTCCCAAATAGATTACAGGGAAACTTTCTGTTGTAGAATCTGATCATTTCATGCATATCCTCCCTGGAGCCTCATAACACACTTAGTACAGTACTGCAGCCAAACCTCAATATATACATATATAACAAATATATGTATATACTATGTGAGCAATGCTGAAATTATTTAATGCCACACGATGCAATGTGCATGCATGCCAAAAGTCTTAAGATCTGGCCCTTCATCTTCATTGACTGGTGTTGAAGGTCCTTGGTATGTTCCGACAGCACTATCCCTGATGCTTCTACACAGTTGGGTGCAACAGCCTGTCCTGCAGCAGTAGAAAAAAATGGTATGAGAAGCTTCATTATGCTTGAAGCACGTTTCTGTACGAGTTGGCAATGTTGTAGAGTTGTGTGAAGTTGCTAGGGGAGGAGAGGGCACGAGGGGTGGAAAAACCGACACCAAGACCTCTAAGCGATTTAGTTAAGAAGAAACCTCCCCATTCCCCTTCTTGTGCAGATAACAGATCAGCCTTAGTATCCATCAGGAAAAAGAGTCTTTTCAAATGCGACAGCCGTTTGCGATCGCACAGACCCATTTTGTGTCCTATGCCCCAGCATGTTTCCCTGTACGCGGGCGCATCTGTTTGCTCCCTCCCGCCGGACTGCTGGTCCTGTCTGTACCGCAGGGCGCCTGGCGGTTCCTCCAGCCCTGCATGCCCTAGTGCTGTCCTTCCCAAGGGACTGGCCCGCGAGGTCTCTTCGGGCTCAATCCCGTGGACTTCAGCCTGTGCCCCACACGCAGAGGGCTGCACGGCTGGGACCCCAGCGTGGGATGCAGAATAGAAGTTTGTTATTCGTACCGCTGGTCATCTACCCTGCTTTTAATACTTTTTTTTAAAATGGGAAACTGAGTTGATGGGGCACTTCAAGAGAAGCCACATACTGAATTCTGTTTGTGCAGACAAACATTTTGAGAATTGTTTCACTGCTTTGGGGAGTCTTAGCTTTTCGGCTGATCCACCGTGATGCCCGCAGTGGCCGTAGGAAGAGCAGGCAGCTCTTCTCGACAGTGGATTTTCACCGGCTGTGAAAATCAACCTCAGGGCATCTTAGGTTTGGCATTCAAAAACCAAGACAGTGAAAGCAGTGAACACTTCACAAAATCAGACTGAAACAAGGTCACCATAGAAGTTATCATTTTAAATGATACACTGAAAGCACAGGATTTTGTGTAGGCCAACAAAAAGGGCGATTGTCAATTACTGCACTGCATGACTTTTGTAGATTTTAACTTCTCTTATTTCCTAAACAACCAATAATACTTATTTATATTTGTCAAGTAGTACTTAACACAATGTTTTCCAGTTTTAAGTTGCTATTGTAGCACTTCAGTTGACTTTAACTTATAGTTACAATATAAAATCCACCAACTCACAGCTGATCCTCACTTTTCCAAACTTATGTTCTGTAGCAAAATGCTGTGTCTCTGGGTTGGCTCATTGCACATGTTATTCATTGTTTAAATTTTTTACCTGTAGATACCCATAATATCTGCCGAACATCTGACTAGCCACAAGTATGTTACACAGATGTAGACATTTTGTCATCAAACAGTAAGTTCCCGATGTGTTGTTGCTTGCATTTCTCTTACCTTTATGTGTGCATAATTTGTCTTTTGCAGGGACAGAATGTTTTTATTTTACTTCTAAGAAAATTAATAAGATACAGGGAAGAACTCCACTGACGCGCGATTCTTCTCTGCGTGGAGATCATAGTTAGCAGTGACCACGTTAGCTAGTGTGTTGGACCAGATGTCGGTGTTAGTTTGTACATATCCATATAGCAAAATCAGAGAGTCTAAAATTAGAGTTTTGTTTATGAAGGATGATGGCTCCAGCACTGATGTGAGCCAAGGGCCAGGTCTAGGGGGGTGATGGTTACGTTAAGCGGGCTTTAGAAAGAACGGATTTTAAATCTCCAAATTTGGAAAGCCAGAATCTCTTAAAATACAGGTTTAGTCATCTGCCTAGCTGAAGCCTGATTTCTCTTGAACGCAGGTTGTCAGGCTACGATGCGTTATGTACAGTATTTTCCTGGCATGGGTGGTATGGCAAGGAGAGGTCCCACAGTGCAGGCACAGTTCATACCTGCATTGTGTTGGTGTGAACGGCGATTGCAGATAGTGTATGTCAGCTTTTTATACTGTAACCTTTATCCTGCATAGCTTGAAATCTAGGTTTGCGTGCCTAAGCTTGAGAGACTTTTTTTCCCGTGTATCTTCCCATGAGTAAACTGTAGTTTCCCGTCTGTCACTAAATTGCCTGTTGTCATCAAGACCACCCGCAGCACATCACCTCCCCTAGGATAGCTTGTGATTTGTATTACCTTTCTCTCCCTTGCGCTCCGTTTCTGCTGTGTTTTTTTATTGAATGGCTTGGCCATAATGGAATTATTACTTAGGGTGAGGATTAACTGATTTGCCACAGTGGGTTTATAATAATAGTTATTCCTTTCAGCTGAGCGTAAACATTGTTAAACTGCTTGAGTGACTCAGGTGGGACACCTCTTATCTGCAGCCTAAACTTGCTACCGCGCTTCCCTCTGGACTCAGCTGGGACTGGGGTGTCCCCGTTTCAGAGACCGTCCCGAGGTGGAGGAGGAGGAATCACTCCCTAGATGTGTCTCTCATGCAATAGGCAACAGAGACCGGAGAAATAGCTACGCTAGATAGGCAGTGAAGTAAGAAAAATTACCTTGGGAATATAGGGCCCAGATCCCTAAGGATGTTTAGGTGCCTGTCAAGCACTGGTTGGGCTCCCAGGTTTTACGGGGGCAGCAGCAGCAGCAGGGCTTGGGAAGAGAGAGGGGGCCCGGGGCTGCTGGGCAGCGCTCCCACAGCACTTCGTGGGAGCTGCCTCCCAGGGGCTGGGCGCTGGGAAACCGTCCCCCGGATCCCGCTCCCACGGCTGGGACCTTGGGAGCAGCGGGAGGCCGGTGTGTCGTGCGCTTTTATCACCGCGGGATTCGGGTGTAAAGTGAAGCTCTGCTGCGAGGAGTTACCAAAGGGAAATCCCACAGGGGTTGGGGCGCAAGCTTCCCTGATGCTCGGTGGCAGACTTCCCCGTTGCAAATGTAAAGCTTGGGCTGATGTGGTGCTAACGAAAAGTTATGACTCTGTTGAAAATGCTTTCTCTTCCTTCTTTTCTAGATCATAACTAAAGAGAAAAGGACAGTGTGTTTGGGTTGAGAAGAGGACGAGCTCATTAGCCATAATGTATATACCGTCAAGCAACACTCGGAAACTCCCTCAGCAGTAAGACATCCACACATTGCATGTTAACGAGATGAAACAAGAACTTGGAAATCCACTGCACACTGTTGCCTATATACTTTGTACATTTAATTGATATTTGTGCTGAGGTGATCTTATTGTCTAAAAACTACAACATTGTCTATCTTTTCTAGCACAGAAGTATGCATATGGATTTGAATATGCATATGTAGTCTGTTTCCTACATAATCATGTATGTCACCTTGAAAAGACAGACGATGATGTAACCATAAATCTATTATGTATTGGTACGTCTGTAGACCAAGATATAATTTTTTAAAGTAAGTTTATTTCTTTCAAGGTTTACAAATAACAAAGGTGCACCTTGTATTTAAAATTGCCATTATAGATGAGAGCGTGCATGCACAGTAATTTTTGTTTAAGAGTAATATTTTTAATGTAATAGATTGTAAGAAGTGGTAAGAGAGGTATCTGACAGAGATGAATGTGCCAAGCAAAACCACAACTGTGTATATTTTAAAGCACATCAATGGCTTTAAGTACCATGTTGTTAAGGATTCTCATGAAGTGCCATAGACTGTACATCCGATTAGAGTATTATTTCTGCAGTGTTATTTTCAGAACCACGTTTTCACTTACTTTACTAGTACTAATCAGTCAAAGGGCACCATTCTGTTTCAAACCAAAGCTGTCTCAGAAATGGCCAACTATTCCTTACAGTAACAGTAGACAGCACAAGAAAGATACTCTAGCCGTACAAATTAACCCATACTGGACATATATATAAACTATTTTAAGGCATTGTAGTGTAATATTTATGCATATTTTACTGTATAACATGATATACAAAAGGGAAAAGCCATTTCTGAGACACAGTAACAAATGTTTGAGGAACTTCTTTTGCTTCTATTTATAGCCTCTGTTGAAAGTCAAAAGGACTATAAATGTTTTGCAGAGTTGGGTTTCACTTTTACTTCATCAAAGTCACACTTTACATGGTGACTCTAAACAAAGACAGAAGAAGCACTGACATCAGATGCATGACAAACCAAAATATGAAAAAATGGAGATGTTAATTAGCATAGAAATTGGGTGGGTTAAATACTTGGGTGAGTTTTATATGTGATTTTTTTGTTCAGATTAACTGCTTATAGCCTTAGAAAGCCTTTACAAAATAAAAACAAAAAAAATAGATGTGCATTCAAGTTTTAAGAATGGATTCATCCAAAGGAATTCCTTTTTGTGGTTTGGATGTTGCAGCTAGTAAAGGATATTTTTGCTCTGTTCAGCAAAGTGCTGAAGTGGGGGCCAGGTCACTGGTAGCGTAGCGTGGAGTGGAAGAAGCGCGAGTTCGGTTGTAGAACTCTCCATACTTCCAAGTTTACTGCGAGTTTTTATGCTTGAGAGAGATGCTTTATAGTATAAGAATGATGTGTTGATTTTACTGATTGTACTGTACATCTATTAAAGCCTTAGATTATTACATTACGGGTTAAAACCCATACCAATGTAATTTCAATCGTGTTAAGAAAGTATAGGTGACTTCACATGTTATTGTAGTTACTTAACATTATAGAATATTACTTATTTTTTTCTTGTTAAAAGTGTAGTTTTTATTTCTTACATTTATTAGATTGTTTTCATTTTCTATTACCAGTTGAATACCATTTCAGTTTATAGAATTTTGTTTTATTAGAGTTTACTGATGACTTTTTCAAAATACAAAAAAAAAGTAGTTTTCTTCATAACATACTCAGTTTTGAATTTACATGTAGTGTCATATGAGTATTCGTATTATTGTTAACTAAATGATTTATATTTTACTGATTTAATATTACAATGTAAGAATGTCAGTCATTGTTAGTTCTTGTCTAGTTTTCATTAAAAGAACAAAGATCTTTTATATGGATATCTTATAATTATATAATCATTGCTAAGTAAGAAGTTAAGTTGTTGCTATCGCAACAATCCTGGCAGACAATTGAGTAATATTTTGATGATTTATTTTGTTTGTAATTAGTTATTATGAGAAAATCTAGTTCCTAGATATTAGAATAAAATTTATTTTCTACTGTATCCATTTCAAATGTTAAAATATTGTTTAAATATTTTTTGAAATCCCTGAATATCAGGCCTTGTTATAAATAAGCTGCATAATCAATAGATCAAGGGACTTTTTGTTGATAATCCAAATACTCAAAGTTTACGTAACAAGAATTATAGCGTGTGTGTGCAAACTCTTGAGGGTTGATTATGCTGCAGTTTAGCATGTGGGAACGTATAGAGAGAAGGTTGACTTTTTGCACTTCTGTATATAGTCAAAAAAGAGAGAAACCTGTATAATAGTAAGATCTTATTTTGAATAAAAATGTCTATAATTACAAGGAGTTTTGTTAAGGCTAATAAAATGACAGGCTGAACAAAATTGCTTGCAAAAGTGGCACAGAGTTAGCACTCCATACCCCTTCAAAAAAGTTGCTTTGCTTTATGTGGACAGCTTGTAGTTTGCCAGGATTTTTTCAGCTGGAAAGATATGCCATCCTTCCAAGATCTCATGACTGACAAAAGCTCCACTGGTTCAAATCTGCCTGAAAATCATTAATAAAAAAAAAAAAAAAGAAAAAAAAAAAGAAAAAAAAGCAGGTACTTCAAACCATCAAGGTGAAATCATGGATCAAATATTCCGTACATTATTCAAAAACTACTGCATGTTTAAAGTATCAAAAAATATATTAAAGATATATGCTATTCAAACCAGTTTCTGACAATTTCAGTGGTTTATTGTTCACAAAAAAGATTCTTCAAAACAAATACTGACTTTCACAAAAGAGTTAAATCATGAACAGGCAAACCAAACAGCACACCGTAGCTGTAGTTGTTATGTGATTATTTTTTATCGCTGTAGTGGTCCTGTTCTTTTAGCAGGTGAAAAAAAAAAACCCTGGGAAATTTTACCGTTTTAATAGAAACCGTTCAGGAAACCTTGTCATTATATATGCCAAAGCTGGAAAGAGAAAGTGATTAGGCCATTACAGTATCTGATCTCTCCAGTACTCACACTGAATGATTAATGAAGTTGCACTTACTTGCAACCCCGCAACTTTCATCTGCTGAAAGGACAGATGTGCTTGGTTTTACTATTATGTAATCACAGACTTACTTTTTGCTTGTAGTTGCTCCAAATTATGTACTCTGTCCTGGGCTGCAATTTGTTTTTATGCTTATTTTATTATTACTGCTATAGTTGACCTTGCTGTATGGAAAAAATAAAGTGAAATTGCCCTAATAAAAGTTCTCTTTCTTAATTACGTTTTTTTATATCAGGTTAAAAATCGCACCGCTTTCTTTTGTACACGCTTTTCATTTTATCTGCGCATTTGTTTTACTGAAGGGATGTAATTTATTTGTGGGGAAAAAAAACCTATATGCTGGTCTCGGGGGTTTTTTCTTCAACAGTGCATAGTAAGTTAGCTATACAGGATATATATTAAGAATGCTAAGCGTACGTGACATTACTGTTAAATCCAGAGGATAAATGTAAAGTACCAGGGTACCACAGATCCAGACCAAGCCGTTATTACCCTCAGGGAGAAGAAAGGGACCCTCCACATCTGCCCCCCGCGTTAGTGCCCACAGCGGGGGTGCAGCGAGGCGGTGGCTGACGTTAGAGGGAGCCCCGTTTCCACGCGTTGCTCCTCCTTGATTAGTCTCCCACAAATCACTCTGAGAATCAAAACTGTTGACCAAAAAAATCACAGGCTTCATTCGGAAAAGGAAACGCATCGGAACGCTTGTTTTCCACGAGGATTTCAGGTGTCTCCTTGTTTGTTAGTGCGGCCTGAGAGACCTCGCAGAAGAGCTGGTGTTTCGAAGGCCGGTTTTATTTACCTCGTTTCTCAGCTCAGCACATCAGGATGCCTCATTCCTGTCGGCTGAACACCCAGCTCATTTGCGCTGTGTTTGCGTCGATACCTGCGATGACACTAGCACTTTAATTTATCATTGCATTGAGCTGCTAGGTGAAAAAATAGCGTGTCAAGCAGCACGAAGGTTCTAAATTAGCAAAAAGAACACGACTTTCTTTTCCTCTCCAGCCGATGAAGGCGGCCACGGAGGTTCCTGTGGTTAATCAGACGGTTCTGACAGCTGCTGTCGTTAGTGCTCCCGCCGCCGAGGTCCGGCACTGCCCTGGGTGCCAGCCCCACGTGGGGTCACTGTCACGCAGGACCCTCCACCGCAGCCGGGTCAGGTCCGTCCCCTTGCACCTGGGCAGTGCCGGGGGGTCTTGGGCCGCAGCCGCTGGAAAGCGGGTACCGAGCCGCAGCTCAGCCTGCGGCGGGGCTCTCGCCAGAGCCGAGAGAAATAAAACCGCTCGGATGCTGAGGAGAGCCACGAGAAGGAGCTCCTGCCAAAGCGGCATCGGCGCCTGCGGCTCGGGAAGCCGGTGGCCATGGCAGCTCGCCGGCCGGGGCCGGGATGGTGGCGACGGCAGGAGCAATTAATAACAACTGTGTTAAAACCAAGATAAAAGAGCCCTGTCCGAAGGGATCCATGTGTGTCTGCAGCTGAGATGCTTTCTGAAATGGGGAAAGGATTCTCGGCCCTTGGGGACGGAGGAGCAGGAACCTCCTTCAGCAACCTGGGTCTGGGCAGCTGGGGACCGCGGCCGAGCCTTTCCCTGAGCTCCCCTTCCCTCCCCAGCCCGGCGGGAGCCCTGCGCGGGGGTCAGCGCCGCAGGGGGACCCACCGGGACGCTGCCTGTTGCAGCCCGGGAGAAGCAGTCACCGTCCTGCCTCTTGCTCGACGGAGTTAGCGAGGGAGTTTTAATTGCCTTTGTGTGATTTGTGAGAACGGGGAATGGCATCCCGAAGAAGGAGAGAGAGTAATACTGAAGGTCTTTTTCCATCCAGATGCTAGTTGTAATTAAAAAAAAGCCCATTCCCTGCCCAAACGGAGCCGATCACGCCACTTTCTGTGGTCCCGGCAGCAGCATCGCACGATGCCTTGATACCTCGTGCCGGCTGCCAGCGCAGCCTTGGCGTCGGGGAGAGGTGCCGGGTCTGGCACGGCTCTGCCCACCGGCAGCACCCGGGGGGACACAGTGAGACGTGGGGGCCAGGGAGAGCAGCACCGGGCTGGGCACCTGAGCAACCCATCACCAGCATCAGCTCCCACAGCCCCAGAGCTGCTGGGAAAGTGGGTTTGGGGAATTTGTGCAGGTGCCGGGGTGGGTGGGGGTGGGCGTGATGGGGCTCAGCTGGGGATAAAGGGCTGGAGGCAGCAGGGCTGGAGGGAGCTGGGGGCTTCTGGATGTGCAGGTAAGGAACTGGTGGTTTGGGGACCCTGGGCAAGATCTCTGGGAAACAGCTGATCCACAGCCTCAGGAGGGCAGCGGCACTGGGGGAGACCCTCCCCTCGTTTCTGGGTAATGGCACAGAGCAGCGGTGGGGGCCACGGTGCCGGAGGATTCCCCTTGGAGTTATGCCTCCGTCGTGGCCGTGAGAGTGAGTGGTGAAAGTATGGGGTGGCAACGAGTCCTTGATGCTGCTTCTAAGAGGGGGACGGACCTCCCACAGCTGACCTGGCCAAGGTGGTGGGACCCTTCCACGGGGGACCTGCCTGCGGCGTGGGTGCACCCCTCTCAAGGCGTTTATCGCTGTGCGGAGCTGTCGGGTGTTGGAAAGGCATGGCTGAAGGGCCCCAAAGCAGCCGACGTGCAGCTGCTTTAACTGGTGTTTCTCGTTGTGTGTTGCTGGCTGGTGGTGCCTGGGATGCCTGGGGTGGGGGGTGGTTGGTGGGAGCGAGGGTACCCGGTGGTGCTTTGTGGTGCTTCTGCAAAGGCTCCGTCTTGGTGAAGGAGCTGTGCCGTGTGCCGGAGGGGTGCCGCGGCGTTTGCGGTGGGATGCCCTGCGCTGGGGGCCCGTCGCCTGCAGCCCCCGGGGCTGGGGGTGGCGAGGGAGGGGGAAAAGTCTCCCTTTTTTATATAGGAACTCCAAGAACAAACTGAAAGGTGAGAAGTCAGTGCGCTGTGTGTTTCATGGGAGGTGGTGGAGACGTTGGAAAGTGCGTTAGCCCTGTGCTAATAAACCACAGGAGGAAATGAATCACAGCGATATTTCAGGAATGCACCACAAATAAACGTGCAGTTACTCCGAAGCACCCCAAAAGCGCTCCGAGGGTGCAGCCAAACAGCGTTCATCACATACGCGTTCTCGGTACCTAAGAATAGCCCGTTTGGAGTCTTTTACCCATCACAGGAATTTAGCAAGCTTGTCATGGCATATATTGGCAATTACCTGGCACCAATAGGGAAACATTCAATTAAATAGTGGCAAGAGAAGTGACAATTATGGGATGGGAAAGACAGTCTATGCTCTTCTGCAAACAGCATGTGGCACAGCACGGCATGTTCAGCCCCCCCTTGGGGCGAGGGGAGCAGGGTCCCTCCCTGGCAGGCACCCTGTGAGGGGTGGGATGGGGGTGCTGTGGGCACGGTGCGGACCCTTGGCTTTGGGGGCGGAGAGAGCAGAACCGCTTCGACTGTTCTCATGTGCCCTCAGCTACAAGGTACTGGGGCGGTGGGAGGCACCGGCAGCACTTCCCGAGGATGGGGGATGTATCTGAGCGCTCGGGAGAGAGAGCCCACCCCGCCCCCTGGGCTGGGGGAATGGGAATGAAACCGCAGGGCTGAGTGTGGGTGCCTGAGCCGTAGGGTGCTGGTGAGATGCCCAGATGGATTTGGCCAGGAAGGAGGTGGGATGCTCGTGCTGGAGAGCAGCATCTGTGCCTGAGAAAACATCCAGTTATAAGGGAAATGTTTTTTCATTGCTGTTTTTAATCCCAAGCCTTACTCGCCTGCATGTGCTGGTTGTCCAGCCCTGGCTGTACACGGGGCTATCCGTAGACCCAGGAGCAGCTTTGCAGCTGGGCTGGCACAGCTGGGGCTGCCTCCCGGCATGGCACTCTGCAGGGGCATTGCAAAACGCTGTTTAAGGAAAGCAAAACAAACGCTTCTGTGGAGCAGTGTTGCTAATTGCCTTTTCCACCCACGTCTCGTTTTTCTCTTCCCAGTGAATACTTCTGGTCCAGGAAAAGGTCAGCAGTGGAAGTTGCTGCTTCCTACCTTGCTCTCAAGTACGGCTGACTTTTAAAAGCCCTAAACCGCACTTTATACAAAACGAACCCTATCTTCTTGTTAGCATTAGTAGGGTGCAGTGTCACGGGGGAAGTTCCTGTGGTGACCTCTGCTGAGTGGGTAAGGGTCAGCCAAGCAGCTTGTCTTGGTTAGGCTAAAAACAGACATCTGCGTCCTGCTGATAGCAGCTCGCCGTGGGTCAGGCACCGCATCTTGCCATCAGCGTGCAGAAGAAGAGCTTCTCCAGGTGCTCGCTTGAGCACGGAGTCTATCTCAGTGTTTGTGTACGCATTCGGCAAATCCAGGCGGGCCTGCTCGGCGTTGTGCCTTCGTGCAGTGTCGGGGCACAGAGCCCAGGCGGCCTTGGAGGGACTTTTTTTGTCCCTTCCCTCCTCTTCCTGCACCCACCACTTGCCGAACAACCGGGATCAGCAGTGCCTGCCCTCACCGTCGGCACGCTTGGCTTTGCCGTCCCGCGGCAGAGCCGCTCCGGTGCCGGCTGGCTGTTTCAGCAGAGGCACGTTTAACGCTGGGTGAGTTTGGGGGCTGGCTCGGCACCGAGCAGCGACGCTGCAGCCCGGGGTGCCGCTGGCTCCGGGTGCTCCCCGGACACACGCACACAGGACCCGCTGCGGTAGAAGCGTGGGGTGTGCTGAAATCCTGAACAAGAAGCATGAAGAAGATCCTGGCTCAGCACCGAGCTCTCAGTTAGCGCGCGCTCGTTGGCGGTGGATAAAAACCAGCGTCGGCCACCGAGAGCCGCTGCGCTTTGGGTCTGTAGGATGCGCTGCGTCTCG